AGTTGGAAGGTGTGTAGTGAATGAGGCAGGGAACAGCAGGAAGAGAAGGGATAGTTTGATGGTTAAGGAAATTTAATTACACCCTGGAGAACTGGATTCTGTCCCTGCCTCTGCCACAAAGTTTCTATGCTAGACAAGCCCCTTAAATCAGAACGTTTACAGTTGGCCACTAATTGTGTGTTCCTCATTTTCTGGGTGCCAAATGTGAGACATTTGGGGCCAGATTTGCAGAAGTGCTGAGCACTCATAACCGCACCTGGAGTCTGTAGGCACTGTCTTTTCAATATATATGTTATAAAAATGTTAAGCACTATGGAAAATTAATGCCTAGTTGTTTCATGTTGGGCAACCAAAATTAGTGGACACTTGAGAATTCAAAAATGCCAGCCTTGCTCTGAGACTTTTAGGGATGTTTATGAAAAAAATTAGGGAACTTTCTTGGACCAGTGGCAAGTGCCAAAGGTGCAAAGCCAAATACAGATAGGAGTCTGGGGTAGGTGCCTTGAAAGGCTGCAATGCATTTTAGAGGCACTTCTGTGCATATCACAGTAATAACAAAAGTGATACAAGCTGAAGTAACTTTTTACTTAGTAACATCAATAGCGATGACCAGGTCCAACATGGTATTGGCCACCCCTTTGCAAGCACCATACAGGTTGCTTGCTTGGCCTTTCACAGGATTATCTTGTCTGGATTTCTCAAGTGGCAGGGTTGACCGAGTATGTCCACTTTGGTGATCATCAGTGATTCCAAACCTTTATCACCAAGATTTGGTCTGAGCTCAGTTGGTTTCTTGCGCACGAGAGAAAATACTCTTTCTGAGTCAGAGTTCCTGTTAGGTATTGGAAGGGTTACTTTCATTATCCAGGCCAGAACATCATAGTGTCCATTATCTGCAATATGGTATGCTGCTGTTTATCACAACTGATGCACATCAGAACAGATGATGGCATGTTATCAACCTGGTACCGAGCAAACTGCTCCTGCTTTGTGTCTTGCTGTAATTGATCCTTCAGCAGAGGTGGAAGCTGCTGCACGAAGAATGCAGTATCATTGTATGTAGCCGTCATCCTGAATTCACCGTTAGCTACTTCTGCATGTTGTAGTATAGGATCAAGCAGTGGCAGTTTCTGCGCTATGTATGTGTCCACCTCTCGGTATTACCGATGAACTCACTAGAAGAATGGCTCCAAGGCTCTGTCTGTTAGCCTCACGGTGTTCTCTGAAGGCAAAGCAGGACTTGATGACTGCTGAGAGTATGAGTTGTCTCTGATAAAATCATGTGTCATAATATCCTTGCCATCCTTCTGATTAGAAGTGAGGTTGTAGTCTACTTCACTTTGCTTCTACAATCACTAATGGCTTGGTAATTTGACAAGAAGTTCTTTCAGAAGACTGAACAGCTGTTGTCTTGGTATCTGAATCAGAGATTCCTCTTTTTGCATTTGATGTGTTTAGTTTGTCAAAGATCAGGATCCTGTAGTCGAAAAATAGGCAATAAAGTTTGTGAAAAAATAAATGTGTCTTATATCATCACAAAAACTTTCAATGCCAAGTTCTGCAGTTTGTTTTGGCACAGTGATGGCGTCCAATGTCAGTTTAGTTAATTTGTCATGTTTGGCATCAGCAACCTTCTCGGTAGGCTTGCTATTGTGATGATCTTTTTGGATGATCCTTGTTTTGCTGTGACGGTTTTGACATTGATGACTGGCTGTTGGTGGCGGCTACACCTGATTGGTTTTTGCTGATGTTGCTGATCTCTGCTCTGCATGATTTTCAATAGATTGTCACTTATAGTCTGGTCTTGTTGGCATGTCACCGTAGCACACAACTTATTGGCACCGGTGTCAGTTTTATGTTGCTGCAAAGGAGGACGGTGCAGATTGACAGGCATAGATTTGCACTTGGTGCTGCATGAATGAACTTCTTTGGACTTAGCTGCTTCAGCTGGAAGAATGTGGTCAGTAGTTCCTACTGCTGGATGAGCCGAGTCAGACATAGGCCAAGTGACAGCCAGAGTGTGCTTGTGTGCTTCAGTATCTTATGGACTTCTACGTAGGACAGCTTCAGACAAAATGAGCTCCCAGTGATGCTTGGTGCTCTTGTCAATATAATAGTAGATATCAATCAGTTCATCTGTGGTGGCAGGGGGGGACTTCACACTTATCTCAGCCATGATGTGCACCAGGTGATATGGGCAACCCACAAGAAAAACAGACGATGTTGCTCTCAAGTAAATGCTGCAATACCCTTGTGCAAGACCATCATGACAGAAGCAGTGTCACTTCCAAAAGTCAAACTGTTTAACACAGGAATTTTCCTGGCCTCCATATTTTAATTCAAAAGCTTTAATTCCCAACCTGTACAGCAACAAGGTGATCACTTTACCTTTGCTGTCATCAAAATGTTGAATAATGAGTGGGAGCAGTTTGTTGATGCCTGCATCATTGCTGCCATCAGTGGCTAGAATAAACGAGGAATGATGCATGCTTTCTGCTAGGCAGTTCACACCGTCATTTGCCATCTCTTTGATAATTGCTGTCATCTTTATGCACACCTAGGCATATTTCTTGGTGACTTCTGAAGCAGTTTTCCGCAGCTTTTTATTAATAATATTCCATTTGGTTCAGGGTTTGAATGGTGTGTGGTAAATAATGCCTGGAGCCACACACTGAATGAGGAAGATAAAAATATTTTGAATAACTACTTATTCATTGAACGAGGCAAGGGTTCTGTAGAGAAAATACTATGCGATCTATGTGATACTGTGTAATTAAAGATTGTGTCATGATGCATATGAACAAAGGGGCTGAATTAAGACTGCACAGGCACCCTTGGCATTTCATAACTTTTGAATGTTTGACTTTGCAACCTTAAAATTCTTTTAACAAAGTTACATCACAAAAACTATGTATTATTTTGATGACTATAACACCCAGAGACTCCAAATAGATCAGGTACCGCCACTTTGGTGGGTGCTGCACAGATACACATTAAAATAGTTCCTGGTTTAAAGCATTTTAATTAGTGAGCTGGATAAACCAAGCCTGCTCAGATACATGGTAATGAATGACACACGCACACTATGATGTAGTGGGAAGTGCTGAAAGCTCTTCAGCTGCTAGTTCCTATAGGCCGGGGTGGGCAAACTACGGCCCTTCAGGGCTTTGGATGCGGCCCGTGGGATTGCCCTCTGTGGCCCCGTGGGCCCCGTGCCGCTCTCAGAAGCGGCCGGCATCAAGTCCCTGTGGCCCCCGGGTGGGGGGGCAGAGGGCTCCGTGCGTTGCCCTTGCCTATAGGCACCGCCCCCCGCAGCTTCCATTGGCTGGGAAAAGGAACCACGGCCAATGGGAGCTTCGGGGGAGATACCTGGAGGTGCGGCAAGGGCAGTGCACGTGGAGCCCTCTGTCCCCCTCCCTCAGGGGCCGCAGCGCTTCCTGGAGCGGCGCGGGACAGGGCAGGCATGCAGGAAGCCTGCCCTGGCCCCAGTGTGCACCGCTGCCACCCCAGAGCGGCTTTTGGTAAGCGGCGCCGGGCCAGAGCCCGAACCCATCCTGCACCCCATCCCCCAACTCCCTGCCCTAAGCCCCCTGCCTGCACCTCGCACCCCTCCTGCACCCCAACTCCCTACCCTGAGCCTCCTCATACATCCCGCACCCCTCCTGCACCCCAATCCCCTGCCCTGAGCTCCCTGCTGCACCCCTGTGCACCCCAACCCCCTGCCCTGAGCCCCCTCGTATACCCCGCACCCCTCCTCTGCCCCAATCCCTTGCCCTGAGCCCCTTCCTGCACACCGCACCCCCTCCCACACTCCGCACTCCCTCCCGCACCCCAAGCCCCTGTCCCGGCCCTGCATACCATTTCCCCACCCAGATGTGGCCCTCGGCCCAAAAAGTTTGCCCACCCCTGCTATAGGCTATAGGACTCTATGAGCTAAACACAGAACTAAATCTCTGCCCCTCCCAGAATGACATGTGGCCCAATTCTTTCTCTTCAGTTCATAATAGGGTTGAGGATACTGCAGGTTTATATGTATATACTCTCAGGTCTATAAGAGATATTTCTTAAACTACTTGGACTGAGGCTAGATTCTAGTCTTACTTTTACATCAGTTTTACACTTGTGTAATTCTGTTAACTACTCACAATTTACTGTAGTAGTAGAATTAAGCCCAGAGACTCTTTTTTTCTAGAGTGACCCTCCTGGTATATACTTCTGCTGTAAGGAGACAACTTCCAAAAAAGCATAAATATATATTCTTGCTTTGGAGAGTTGAAGTCTTGGAAATTAGTGTCTTTGAGTTTATTGAACAAATGTCTTACAGAATGCTATAGAATAAAGTAAAACTTTGAAGTTTTGTTTCACTGTGAGCTTGTCTACACCAACACTTAGTTCATGGCAAACTGGGATGTAAATCTATTCTGTACTAGCCGACCACACACAAAGTATCCCTGTGAACCCTGCTGCCACACACTAAAAGGCCTAGTGTATTTCAATCTATTAACGTTTCAAAGTGGGGTAGATTTACATTTCAATTTGCTGTGAATGATATGTTCATGTAGACAAGCCCTTAGATTACAGTATCATAAAACTACAGGTGTTTAACCTACAGAGTTTTGCATCTGTTCTGTTCACTGATTGTAAAAATATTCAGATGGACACTACCTAGACTGTAATTGCTCTGTGCATCTTTGCTTTCTTTATAGTAGTTTGAATCAAATTATTTAAAGCAAAGAACCTTAAATTTTATATTCTTCAACACAGCTGGCTATGAAAAAAGTCATGTGACCTAAAGAGTACATGATTACAGACTCATAGACTTTAAGGCCACCAGGGACTACCATGGTCCTCTAGTCTGACCTTCTGTGCATCACAAGCCACAGAACTTCAGTCACTCCTGCAACAGGCACATAATCTCTGGTCTTGCAACCCTACAGCACATTTCTCTTTTGCTCTACAATGGATCACATATGGGATTTTTGCTTGTTCTTTTTAAACAGAAAAAATACAGAAAGGGATCTGTTGATATTGCAAAAATCAAGTGTGTTGAAATTGTGAAGAACGATGGTGCCATTATTCCCTGTCAAAATAAATATCCATTTCAGGTAAGTTCATTTGGTTTATTTAAAATGTAATAATCTGTTTTTCAACATAGCTCAGTTATTTTATATTTGTTATTTATCTTGTAGTTTGCTTCCGATGACTTTAATGAAGTTTCTTCAGATACTGGGCCTGATTTCTCTCACTTACACCTGTTCTAAATAATTTCAGTGTAGCTAACCCAATTGACACTAGTGTCAGGGAGAATCAGGTCCATTTAGGTTTTTAAATTGAACATATGTTTTGGAATAATTCAAAAAGTTTGTTTACTTCATTTAATTTCACAATGGAAGGAAAGGGCTCAGAAGGGAAAAGGAAAAGTTTAAACAAATTATTTTGGGTCAGATTCTCTCTCATTTGCAACAGTGTAAATCCTAGTGAAGTATTAGAGGGGTAGCCATGTTAGTCTGTATCCACAAAAACAACGAGGAGTCTGGTGGCACTTTAAAGACTAACAGATTTATTTGAGCATAAGCTTTCGTGGGTAAAAACCCACTTCTTCAGCTTATGCCCAAATAAATCTGTTAGTCTTTAAGGTGCCACCGGACTCCTCTTTGTTTTAATCCTAGTGAAATTACTCTGGATTTTAACTGGTATAATTGAGAATCTGGCCTCTTCTGCCTAACAGTAATGCTTACTTTTTACCAATGAAAGCAAGAAAGATAAAAAATGCCAATGCAGATGAAGAAGACAGTGCAAGAAGTTATCTAGGGCAATATGGAATCATAAGAAGTTGTAAAGTGACATGTACAGATGGACATTTGATTACAATACGACACTAGTTAATTTTTTTTTAAAGAAAACCCAAGGGTGAAGAATAAACAAAAGAAATGGCCAAGCAAATGGTTAAAGAAAGACTGTGACTATAACATATAATTTTAAATTCCTTATTTGTCCTATCAACAGCAATTTAGATTATTAAAAGTGAAAGAATTTTTAAGTCTAATTTTTCACCATTTATGCTTTTTGCATTTTACTTATTTTGGATGATGAATACACATTTGTTAGTTTTGCTGAGCCTATTAGCCAAGAAATATTTGTTTTACACTAGATGGTATTTACTAAGAATCAAGTTTAAAATTATTGCCATATAAATGTTATTTATATTTCATTTGATTTATTTTCAGATTGTATATGATGCTAATACACTTTACATTTTTGCGCCCAGTGCACACAGCAGGGATCAGTGGGTGAGGAATCTTAAAGAAGGTAAAGACAACTTCTTAAGGTTAATATGTGAAGCCTTTAAGAGGCAAGGCAATTGCTTGAACTAGAAAAAATGAAGCACAAACTTGTATGCTCTTTGTTTAATGGCCTATATATGTATTGGGACAGATTCTGCATTGGTTTATATCATACACTCAGGGGTGAAAGTAACTTAAAGGACTTACCGGTACGCCAGAGTCCTGAGCTGTGGGGGGGCCTCAACTGGAAGGGGCGTGGCCTCAACTGGAAGGAGCGGGACCTTTAGAGCCCCGGGCCCTTTAAATCGAGATTTAAAGGGCCCTGGGCTCCAGCTGCAGTAGTGGTGGCTGGGAGCCCCGGACCCTTTAAATCACTGCTGGAGCTACCAGCTGCAGAGGCGGCTGGGAGCCCCGGGGCTTGGGAACCATTTAAATCGCTGCCTGAGCCCTGCTGCCGGAGCCCTGGGGTAGCAGCAGCGGCCGGGGGCTCGGGCAGTGATTTAAAAGGCCAGTGGCTCCCACCGCAGCGGAGCCCCGGGCCCTTTAAATTGCCGAAGGAGCCCCAGGGGTCCCGGCTGCCACCCCTACCCTGGGGCTCCAGCAGAGGGGCTCAGGCGACGATTTAAAGGGCCCGGGGCTCTGGCCGCCACTACCGCCCCGGGCCCTTTAAATCGCCGCCAGCTCCGGCAGCAGGGCTCTGGCAGCGATTTAAAGGGGTGGTAGCGGCGGCTGGAGCCCCGGGCCCTTTAAATCGCCATCTGAGCCCTGCTGCCGGAGGCCTGGGGTAGTGTCGGCGGGGCTCCGGGAGTGATTTAACGGCCAGGGGCTCCCAGCCGCCACTACCACAGCGGGGTCCCGGGCCCTTTAAATCGCCGCCAGAGCCCTGGGGATCCCGGCCACCTCTGCTACCCGGGGGCTCCGGCAGTGGGGCTCTGGCTGCAATTTAAAGGGCCTGGGGCTCCAGCCATTGCTAGGAGCGCAGGCCCTTTAAATTGCCGCCTGGGGAAGCTGGGCCAGTACGCCATGCCGGGGCGTACCGGCTTACTTTCACCTCTGCATACCGTACAACATTCTGCTTCAATCATGCCTCTGTAAATATGAAGTAACCTCAATGACATCACTGGAATTATTCTTGATTCGCACCGTCGTAATTGAAAGCAGAATTTGACCCTATGATGTTGCACAAGCTATAAGTCATCTTATCCATGTAGTTAATGTCACTGATCATGTACAGAAAATATAAATATTTATAAATGTAAAATATTATGAGCCTTATTCTCCTCTCACTTGCGCTGATTTTACACCAGTGTAACTCCATTAACTTTAATAGTTACTCCTGATTTACGTAAGAATCATAAGAATAGCCATACTGGGTCAGATCAGTGGTCCATCTGGACCAGTATCCTGTCTTCCAGCAGTGGCTGGTGCAAGATGCTTGAGAGGGAATGAATAGAACAGGGCACTAAACTTACACTTGTGTGAGGAGAAAATGATCAGGCCCTGTGTACTCAACAGTTTTGAGAGCTGATTTCCATAGGAAATTCGATCATCTTCAAATGTAACCAGTTATTGTCATTTTTCAAGGAAAAACTTGTGTTTCATGCCTTTGGAGAAAGCTATAATCTTGCGCTGTTCAGGAAAGTTGGACTCAATGGCAATATTTCATACATTTGCCTTTTTAAAATTCTTTAAATTATCCTTATGTTATTAATAATATTAAGGTCAACTGACTAAAACTGTGGTTCTCAACCTTTTTGGGCTCAGGATCCATTTATAAACCTTGATGGCCTGTCACAACCCAGTAAATGGCTTTAGTGCAAAAAAATCTGATTTATTAAATATTTCTTAGCCACAATATACAATGCACATTAAAATAATACTAGTATTAGCATAATTTAATACCAAACAAGTACACCATGGCAGCTCCTGTGACTCACGTCCTGTAGGGCTGGCTGGGCTTGGCTCCCTGCTCCGGGTGTTGTGACCTCCAGGGTTGTGGCTTAGCTCACATTTGGCCCCGCCCCGAATGGGGGGCCAGCCAGGTCAAGTGTGAGTGGCACTGCAACCTGGCGCATGGGGTCCCAACACCACTCACTGAAATTTGACCCCGCTGGTCTCCCGTCATCATGACAAGGGGCGACTAGGATAAACCTGAGAGGACCTGCAACCCTGTGCACCAGGTCCCAGTGCCTGGAGCGGGGAGCTGAACCCAGCCAGACTTGCAGGATCAGATTCACAGGAACTGCCACTGAATGGTGAGTGCGAGTTCTGCAATCACCTCCCCTACATGTCCCCAGGACCTTCCATCCTCGGGGGCAGGATCCCCCCCCACCCCAGGCTTCCTATGTGACCCTTTGACACATTCTGGCAACCTAAATTTGGTTCACAAGAAACCCTGGTTCATTTGAGAAACCCTGGACTAAGACTTGCAAATGTACCCCCTTAGTAATATTACAGTCTATTATCTGTAGGGCCTTACCAAATTCACGGTCCATTTTGGTAAATTTCGTGGTCATAGGATTGTAAAAATAATCAATTTCATGGTTTCAGATGTTTACATCTGAAATTTCACAGTGTTATAACTGTGGGGGTCCCAATCCAAAAGGGGACCGTGGGTGGGTGTGTTGCAAAGCTATTGTAGGGGGGTCATGGGATTGCCACCCTTACTTCTGTGCTGCTGCTGGCAGGGATGCTGCCATCAGAGCTGGGCGCCAAGCTCTAAAGTCAGTGCCACCGCCAGCAGCAGTGCAAAAGTGAGGATCACTCACCGGGTATGAGGGAATGGGTTACCATATGCCCAGGTTTTCCCAGCAGCGTCTCCACCCAGGTCAGGGGCTGACAACCACCCTCACTTCTGCGCTGCCTTCAAAGCTGTGCTCCCATCCAGCAGCCCTGGAGCTTCCTGCAACGGGAGAGGTTCCCAAAGATGGGTCTGACCTGGCTCCAGGAGCAGCCTCTGTAGGGAAACAGGAAATCCCGTCCCTCCCCAGCCTGGGCTGGGACTAGCAGCTGTAGCTCATCCCATGGTAGAAGCCCCCGGTTGGGGTACACTCAGCCCTGCTCCTCCCCTACAATAGCCAGATTGCATGAAGAAGATCAGATTTCATGATCGTGACACATTTTTCATGGCTGTGAATTTGGTAGGGCCATAATTATTTGTATTGAGGTAGCACCCGGGAGCCTGGGACAGATCAGGACCTTGTTGTGCTACATTCTGTACAAACACAGAACAAAAAGATAGCTTGTAAAGTCCCTGGGGGCAGAAATTAAGAATACCTTATGCTACAATCCTGTCATTTATCACAAGCTAAGAAGGGTCAGAACATGTAAGTGTTCTAATCAACAGCTACTGTAGGAAGTGCTATTTGTGATTCAATGGATAGCATTCTTATCTCTGAATCACACTGAACCAATTCTTCAATAAGATATCAGGAAGCACAGTGCTACTGTAGGTGCTGTCTTTTGGATGATCTGTAAAACTGAAGTTTTGACCACTTGTGATCATTAAAGATCTCACAGCTACTTTTTGCAAGAAAAGGATTTGGTAACGTTGGTAGGTTGGCCCACTTTCTATCTTTGGCAGTTACATCTTGCCTATCCAAATTTCTCCTTGCAGTCTCACTGATATTATGCGTAATTTCCGGACCTAAATTTTGTTTAGCGTTTCTGTGCACTATTTAACAGTTGCTTCCCAGCTCCTTTTGTGCTTTCAGGTCTATGTCATTCCATGCACTATAATCACAATTACTGCAGGCACAGTAAAACATATGGCTATCTAGGAGTTTGTCTAAAAGGCCTGATGAAAAAATCAGCTTCTGCAGAATGTTGTCAGAGAGGCCATCACTGCTGTGCACCAATTGCCCTGTGTCCCTGTCAAAGCAGACATGAGTTGGAATATTACATTAGTAATATTATGTATTGCTATATTTTTAAAGGTAAACAGAGCTATTGATGGCACAGGTTACCTATGTTCAGACTTAAGTCTATAAAGTAGGTTCCTATGAGAGCAGCTCACATTACATCATGTTTGGCCTTTCTTCTGGGCTGTTTGCTGGCTGTACATTTCTGAAACTGAACCCCTCAGATTCAGAGCTTTGAAAAAACTATAGGCAGCAATACTTTGCTAATTAGATAATGCACTCAGTGGCATTACCACTGTGTCACATGTCAGGAAATCTTGAGATAGGCAATGCTGTTACTTTGATGCTCTTCATAATAAAGGTACCCTAAAATGCTGGACTCTTTCACCTAGCTCCATTAAAGTGAATTGTTAAACAATACTCTGGGCGCACAAAAGCATTCTTGTGGAGAAGTCATCCTGTAGTTTGATGAAATTATCACCTACATTATGACTGTATGATACCCATATTAACTTGTAATGAATCTCTCAAGAGTAGTAATATTGCAATAAGTACCAGAAGTAGTATTGATTATGCCCTTATGTTAAGAGTTATAGTATTTATGAATTAATAACATGAAATTATTTTTATTAGAGCTCATACTATTTACCATTTACTTTTTATAGAAATAAAGAAAAATAGTAATATAATGGTAAAGTATCATCCTAAATTCTGGACAGAAGGAATTTATCAATGTTGCAGACAAACAGAAAAATTAGCACCTGGCTGTGAAAAATACAATCTTTTTGAAAACAGTAAGTACATAGGAAAAACATATCTCATCATTTTAGCTTGATTTTGTCTATATACTTATATGACCCTTATTATCATAGTATCTGAGCACCTTCCTTAAACAAATCTAATAAATCATGAGTGAACAGTGTAACATTGTTGCAAAAAAAGCAAACATTATTCTGGGATGTATTAGCAGAAGTGTTGTAAGCAAGACACGAGACTTCTGGTCTATTCCAGGGCTGCCCAGAGGATTCAGGGGGCCTGGGGCAAAGCAATTTCGGGGGCCCCTTCCATAAAAAAAAGTTGCAATACTATAGAATACTATATTCTTGTGGGGGCCCTTGTGGGCGGCCCTGGTCTACTCCGTGCTGATTAGGCCTCAACTGGAGTATTGTGCCCAGTTCTGGGTGCCACATTTCAGGAAAGATATGGACAAAGTCCACTTTAATTGGAGAAAGTCCAGAGAAGAGCAACAAAAATGATTAAAAGTCTAGAAAATGTGACCCGTGAGGGAAGACTGAAAAAATTGGGTTTGTTTAGTCTGGAGAAGAGAAGACTGAAAGGAAACGTGATCACAGTTTTCAAGTACATAAAAGGTTGTTACAAGGAGGAGGGAGAAAAATTGTTCTCCTTAACTTCAGAGGATATGACAAGAAGCAATGGGCTTAAAATGCAGCAAGGTGATTTAGGTTGGACATTAAGAAAAACTTCCTAACTGTCAGGGTGGCTAAGCACTGGAATCTCCATCGCAGATTTTTAAGAGCAGGTTAGACAAACACCTGCCAGGGATGGTCTAGATAATACTTAGTCCTGCCATGAGTGCAGGGGACTGGACTAGATGACCTCTTGAGGTCCCTTCCAGTCCTACGATTCTATGAGCCTGGTATTTTTATCACTCATACCAGTGTAAATGAAGAATAACTGTTGGAGTCAGTATAATTACACCAGTGTAAAAATGATAGAAGAAGAGAATCAGGACCAATATATATAGGGAAATAGGACAACATTTCCATAAATGTGTACACTAGACTTTGTGTGTCCAAACCCAAATTATGCCTTTCTGAACTCTGATTTCCATATACATGTTGCTGTTTGCCCATGTAAATCATGGGTTTTGAATGCACAACAGTGTAGATGCAAACTGGCCCTAACTATAGTAAATACTACATCTATATGTATAGGATTAATTTAGACCCTGATTCAGGAAAGCATCCATATTAAGGAAAGCACTTAAGCACGTGCTTAAGTCCAACTGAAGTCAGTGGACTTATTAGGCCTTACATGGCAACAGTGAGGCCTATTTAGAAATATTTAAGGCCTGATTCATAAATTATGATTATTTATTATTTGTACTGTAGCACCAAAAGGCCCCAATCAGGATCATGGTCAGCCTGATTCTACTAGGCACTATACAAACAGGAAGATAGTAATCCCTGCCCTGACATATGTACAGTGGAGTCCTCCAAGCTAAATAGGACTTGAGTTTTTACTGTAAAAAACAAACAGAAAAAAATGCCTCTTTTTGGGTGAAAGAGCAGCGACAGCGAACAGACATAAATCTTTTCAAGCCTTCTCTCTATATCATAAATACACAAAAAAGGGCTCAAGCACAGAGTTTTTCCCATGCCTCTGAGTATCTCCTGAGGTCATCAGGAGGGAGATCATCTCCTATTCACCACATAAGCTGTGCAGGCAGGAAGTTTCTTTTAAATTTAATTTTGAATATCCTTTTGGTGGGTTTTAGGCTTTTAAAAAGAAATTCCTTTTAGTTTTTATCTTCAAATTACTGCTATATACTCACAATTTTAATGTCAACTTAATGATTTTTTTCCTGAGATGGACTTTACATGTTCTGTGGATAGATATAGAATTCAGTCTTTAGGTCTGCCAGGCATGCACTTTTCCATTAAGTTCAATTTACCGGTACATTTTGTCTTACCAAGTATGGGTTTACAGATCTTTTTATCAGAGCTGTTTTTGTTTTCTATGAGTTTAAAAGTTTGTACTAATTGGAGGGCTGGTTAAGATGTTAAAAATCTTTGTCTGAATTTTAAAATCTTTTATATTATTGTTTATCAGTATATTTATAAATGTAACATAGTTACTTCTGCTGCATTGCTTTTAGGCATAAGGAAATCACCTTCTCCAATACCAGATAAAAATAAGGTAGGTGGAATCTTCAGAACATTGTGTAGTTCACTGCAATTGACTGAGAAGGGTTTTGTATACACTATTTAGGCTCACTATAATATGTTTCTTTCAAGGATTAGGGTCCAATCTTGCAAGCACTGCCAGGCATAGAGCCTGATCCAGCTCAAACTGACATTAATTGACTTTCTATTAATTACAGTGGGATTTGGATTGGCCCATAGTGATTATTACTTTGAGTAGCCCTATTGACTTGAATTAGAGTACTCACCATAGTAGGCATTATGGTTGGTGATAAATGTTTATAAGATTGCGCCCTTTTATAGTTAATCTATGATTTAAAAAAATAAGCCAGTATGTAAAATGCTTAATAAATTTGCCTAAACTGTTCAATACCATACGTGTAAAGAGAACCCTCTTTTATAACAGGACACCTACTTATTCAGCTGTCTGTTAATAAATAGGGAATTGCGCACCTTGTTGTTTCTTTAGGCTGAGTTTATTGCACATACCAGGGGATCCTTGCATCACTCCATTCTCCCCCATGAGATCCCAGTGTGCCACCCACTCATCCCCACTATTTCAGGGGCTTGCTGCAAGCCCCACCCCTTCCCTCATGCCAGGGACTCTGCATTACACACACCCCATTCCTCCTTTCTCCCCATGCCACAGCTTCTATGTACCATCCATTCCCTTTTCCCCCCATGCCAGGAGTTCTGTGTGTACCCCATTCCCCCATACCAGGGTCCTCCATTCTCCCCCCCATCCGATGCCAGGGGCTTGATGTGCATCTCTTTCTCTCCCTGTCAGAGTCCTTCAATCTTCTCCTGCCAAGGGCTCAGTATCCCCCCATTTCCTCTCTCCCTATACCAGGGTCCCCTATTTCCCCCTTCTGCCCTTGCCCCCATCTTTCTTTCCTTTCATGCCAGGAGCTCTGTATGCTCCCTCTTTCCTCATGCCCCTGCATTCCCATCATGATAGTGGTTGGGTGCCCCCCATTTCCCCCTCACCCAATGCCAGGATCTCCCCTAATCCTTCTTTCTCCACCATTATTTTTTCTCTTCTTTCTGTGTGGAAGATAAGTCACTGGGGAACCTGGGGTGGCAACAGGTTAAACTCTAATGGGAGGATAAGCAGAACTGAGATAGGGGTATTGTTATGCTGAGAGATGTATAATGGGTGACATCAACCAGTTTTTTGCTTTCTAGAGAGTTGCAGCAGTGCTTGAAACTTTGGCTGTACTGAATAGATGGGAGGGGCTACGTTTCCCATTTTCCCCCTTCAAATTTTCCAATTTTCCCCCAAATCAGCAGGGCTCTGCTCATTGACGCCTACAACATTTCCCTCACATTTTGGAATTGATCAGCTCTGGCATTCAAAAGTTATGATGTTACACCCAAATGCCTTCAAGTTGAGTGTAGGGCCTTGCAAGTTCAGCTAACTAGTTATTGAATAAGTTCAGAATTAACCTGGCTTTCATCTTCAATGTCTTAATGAGTGTTTTGCTTTGCCTGAATGGAATACTAGTAATTTTATCTCATTTTCAGCGAAGGCCTCCACCACCTGTTCCGCCAGCTGAGGAAGATGAAGATGAAGATGAGGAAATAGTAGTAGCAATGTATGATTTTCAGCCCACAGAGTCTCATGATTTGAGACTAGAGAGAGGTGAAGAATATACAATAATTGAAAAAAATGACATTCATTGGTGGAAAGCAAGAGATAAATATGGGTGAGACGCATTTCCATCCTTTATGCACCCACTGCACTATTGAGTAGGACTATTCCCTTAGTGCAGTAATTTATATTGATTATGCCAATCCAGATCTGATTTTGAGTCACAATCCTACAGTCTGATCCATGTTCATGGACCTTTATGCCCACATGGAATCCCATTAAACCCAGTGGGGTGCTGCACAAACCAGTTTGCAGAGCTGGGGGCTTTTATGAGTAAATTTCCTGTTATACTTCTGATTTTTTAAACTAAAAAGTACTCAATTTTAATTTTTATAGAAAAACAAACAAATCAAACACCCCCCTCATACCTCTTCCCATTTATTTTAAAGGTGTTCACATTGTCTTAATGATATTCTTCATGCTCCAACATTCACCACTTCAATATTGAAAATTGTTCAAGGTAATTTTGAGTTAGTGAAAGACAGCAGGGTTGTTGTGGTGATATATTTTGGGGAACAGCAGGCATCTGAATTCTCCTGACAATGTCAGTCAGAGTATATCCCCAGGGATGGAGTTAGGACCACCAAACACAAAGCTGGCCTGGAAGCATAGGGTTTCTCATTTTGTCCCTCCTGCAGCTTTTTCTACAGGAAGAGTGGATCGGCTCAGTATTTTAACTTTGACCCTTCTGCATACAGTGTAGCCTCATTAGATTCAGGGTAGATGAGTCAGGATAAAAAAACCACAACCCTCTATATAATGAGAATCAGAACTGGTCAATGATAAGATAAAAGAGTGCTGGTGACCTTTACTAATTAGCAGTGTGAAGAACTGTTTTAAGCATGCTTCTGTATCTTGTTACCCAGATTGTATCATGATTAATGTTTATGGCGCAATGTTTCTCTTATTCTTTCTAGAAGCACAGGATATATTCCAAGCAACTATGTAACAGGAAAGAAGTCCAACAACCTTGATCAGTATGAGTAAGTGAATATTAGCATAAAAGTGGGAAATAGGATAAAATAAACCTTAAGCTTTAGCAATTGCAAGAATATATTTTAAAAATAAATCTGTATAAATTTATAGATTACATAACTAAGATCAGAAGTGGAACTTTTTAAAAGATTTGAAATACATTCTTTTTCTGATTCTTCTTTCGCTATCACTGTTTCACGGTGGTGAATATCTTGATTTACAGTGATGGAAATGAGAGAAGATTCAGGCATGTACTTTTGAGTCCAAATTTGAGCAACAGCAAAGAAGTATTGCTAGAACAAGGGAAACATTTAAGGAACTTCATCTGTTATAAGTCTGTTTTGAATCTTTAATGTGAAGTGGCATGGTCATCTGAAAGGAATCTGACTATAAAAGAATAAAGTAGGGTCCTTTATTCTCCACTGCACCCAAGCAATGAACATAAACAGCACAATGAGAATATAGATGACCAGAGAATCTGGAACAATAAGTCCAAATTTGAACAAAAGAGATATCAGTGTGCAGTTTAAACATTAGTGCATTCAATCAGCTAATCAGCTATAAACAACTGGAAATACAACAAGCATTTTACTAACAATATGGGTAATTATAAACTTCTTATGAGAGACTTGAGAGGATGGAAGTTATGAAGCTCTTCTGTAAGCCTGTTTCTTCAAATTAAAATTTTGTTTTAAAATATCAGGTTATGAACAAGAGCAGGCATAAACTACTGTGCTGATCTATTAAAAACTTACTAACGTTTCATATGAACTCATACTAAATAAAATCAAACTGCAAGAAAAGATATGTAAAGCAGTTTATAAAACCACATTATTAATTCCAAAACTTTGGTCGAAATTATTTATGATTCACATTTCTATTTTTTGGCCAAAGATAGATATTCTTTAGGGATTCATTTTCTCATCTTTATTAGATGTTGCTCATTTTTTTCCAACATTACTCCCTGATCTTTGAGACTTTTATTGAGAGTCTTGCCTTGCTCTTTGCTATGAAATTAATAAGGAGAGATAGGAAGAAATCATGCTGAATTCTCTGGTGCAACCACTTTGCACCTTGTCACCTGCATGCTGTAGTCTGGTTCTAACCAGCTCAGGGAGCATTACTCTGGTGCAAAAGAGAGAGCTATTAGAAATTTGGCCTTGTAGTATTACTTTCTAGTGTTGCAGAGCTGATGTAGGGGCTGGGCTTGTATGCTACTTTTCCCCAAACCCCAGTGTAGCAGGAGAAAGGGGGCATAGTTGGGACATGCGATACCATGCCAATCCCCAGCTGTGTTTTTGACTGCTGTGGCCCATCGGTAACTGGCATAAATTTGAACAGCCCTTTGGCTGTTCTAACCTAGCACATAGGATTGGCTATGCACTGAGCTAGCACCAAGATCAGGGATGTGCAAAGGTAAACTTTGATTCACTCCTGACTTGCACTCTGAATAGATCAGTCACCCTCCAAAATCTAACCGACAGACTCATACCTTACTAATAAGCCCAATTAGTAACTAGATGATTGGTGTGTAAACAGCCTGTTCAAGATTTAGTTAAGATTTTCAGTTGCTTAAGGTCTTTCACTGAAATGATAGCTGTTAATACACATATTTGACTGGTATTCTGGTTGTAAAGTGAGTTATATTACCTGAACTTTATTGGGCTCCATGCTTTTGTGAGAGCCTATTGAGTTTATTTCAGAACGGTTCTGTCTATAAACTACACAATGTAATAATGACTGAACCTTCTTGTAAATTCACTATATTTCAATAGATTCAGTTCTTGTCCTCAAGTACTGCAAAATATGTTGACTCTGTTTGACTTCCTGTCTTAGTAACTACAAAAAACAAAGTGTTATGTAGTTACAAAGTTTTTTTAATTGCTAATATCTTTAAGAGTTTAGAATTTTTTTTTCAGATGGTATTGCAGAAATCTGAACAGAAGTAAGGCAGAACAACTTCTCAGAGATGAGGTAAGTATTTGTATTATTGTATCAATCCAGCACAAAATTGTTAACAAATGAAATTCTCTTAAGGTAGCTCCTCTTGTTAAAAATGAAATGATCAGTTAACTCTGACTCATGCAAATATCAGGGAGCACAAGTAAAAAGAAAGGCAGCATAACATTGCTTGGAGCCTACAATTGTCATTGTGCTTGGATTTCAGGATAAAGAAGGTGGTTTTGTGGTGAGGGACTCTAGTCAGCCGGGTCTGTATACGGTATCCCTTTATACAAAATATGGAGGGTAAGTTACTGTTGCCACTAATTACAGTGTCTGTTGTTTGAATTTGATTTGCATAGATACACAAGCTCATAGGTTACAAAAAGGAGATTTATTTGTTCAACAAAGAAATAAGCCCAATATTTTAAAAGGTGGATGCCTAAAATTAGCCCGCTGAATCCATAGTTAGGCAGCTAAATATGTAACCTGATTTTCAGAGGTGCTGAGCACCCACAACTGCTACTGGGATCAGTGCAAGTTGAAGGTGCTCAGCACCTCTTAAAATTGGACCATTTGCTGAAGTGGTTAACTTTAGGTATCCAACTTGGAAGTTTTGGCCTAAATTTTACAGTCTTAATAGTGCCTTTAAGACAAAGCCCCACTTTGGAAGTGGTGCAAATTCCTACTGCACCAAAAGGGTCTCTGAGACACATTGTACTTAAAAGCACTGCAGTGCCTCCAGGAGCTTCAGATAGAGCACAGCCAGTGATACCTTTGAAGTGGGTACACATGCTTTAATCAGTTTACCAAGGGACCAGTGACACTGAACAATACATAGGGGTGAACCCACTCATCATCGCCTCCTCTGGACACAGTACTGCCACTGTGGGTGCTAATCTTACACAGTCTTTGAGCTCCATGACCACAGTGATTGTTTCCAGCTGTTGTATGGGGGGACAAAGCAGGTGGCCATTTGTTCTTTCTTATCCATCTGGCAGGGCTAGATACAGTTTTATATGCTGTTTTCTTTTTTTTTTTAGTAGTAAAGTCATAGAATATCAGGGTTGGAAGGGACCTCAGGAGGTCATCTAGTCCAACTGCCTGCTCAAAGCAGGACCAATCCCCAGACAGATTTTTACCCCAGTTCCCTAAATGGCCCCCTCAAGGATTGAACTCACCCTGGGTTTAGCAGGCTAATGCTCAAACCACTGAGCTATCCCTCCCCCCATGTATGTATAGGTGATTTCATTTCCTATTTAACATGTACCTCTCTTCTGGATTCATTTCTAAAAATGCCATCATATTTTAATTCTTGTTTTTTAGAGAAGGTTCATCAGGAATAAGACACTACCATATAAAAGAAACAATGACGTCACCAAAGCAGTACTATCTAGCAGAAAAACATCTTTTTGACACCATTCCAGAGATAATCGAGTATCATAAACATAATGCAGCAGGTAAATGAATCTGATTTTTCTGTCAATTAAATAGAAGCAAATTGAATAGGAAAATGATGCCATCTTAACATAGTCTCTCTTCAGACTATAAATGCCCTTTAAAGGGACTATGGGACACTGCCTTTTACAAAATTTCCTGTTTATAGCGTCACTCTAAAATGTTTGTTAAAAAAATTCTTCTTTCCAGTTCATGAATAACCTCTAAATTTTACACATTGAACAAACTCCTCATAAGTAGGGAGTGTTCAGAATTATATAGTTGTTTCTTTTTACTGTACTCTCTTTCCATTAAATTTTGAATCCATCCAATATCTTCCATTAACTTACTACACAGTGGACTAGATCCTTGGCTAAGGTTTAGGGACAGACAGGTAAGACAATGGAGGGGCTCCAAATATGTTGTAAGGCTCACCTTTGCATTCCCCTGATCCTGATTCTGCTCTGTGCAATATTAGTACCGCAGAGTAACCTGAGGGTTTTAGCCAACACAGGCTACTAACAGATTCAAGGGGCTGAATAGGCAGTTGGGAATTGGTATATACATATCCCAGCAACATCCTCCATGCCAGCACTCAGGAAGGGGTGGTTTAGGAACCTATACACCAGCCATATGGCACCAGACAATCCTGCTGGCACTGTGGTGATACTGTAGCTGGTTATGCTAGCAGACAGAATCCACTGGCCATTTAGCACACACTTCAGGATATTGACCAGTGCACAGAAATTAAACAATGCAGTGACTTTCACTCAAGTCCAGACAGTGGTTGATCCCATCTCAAAGGATATATTTTCAAGATGCTTACATCAAATTTGAGGAGACCTGGGATCCCCTGAGAATTATCTGAGGAAATTTTGTTACATTATTTGAATATAAATAATTCTAAACTAATAAATCTGGAAGCAAGATAAGTGCAAATTCCTCTCCTCCAAAACATAACAATGATTCTTATTTATTGTCATAATTTTAGTTCATTTTTGAAAATTATTTACTTGGTTATTGTTCCCTCTATTTTATCCTTTATTTATTTACTTTCTTTATCTTTTCCTAACCAGGTGTTAGGAGAATATTTAGTCAAAATGGAGTTTGAATAAAAGGGATTTAATTTGAGTGACTCTTGTTATTATAAATGGGAGCTGCATGCACTAATCACCAAACTTACTGATGAGACTATACCTTTTAGAAAATCTTTCCAACTTGAGCTACAGTAGGTGCAGTCCCTCCTTAACAGCCAGTGGTGTTATTCTAGATGCTAAATGTACATTATTTTAGCAATAAAAAATACAGACAACATGTAGGCCAAATTTAAGAGTTCTTATTTTCAGAGGGGCTGAATGCTGACAGATTCAATGTTTAAGAACATAAGAACATCCATAATAGGTCAGACCAAAGGTCCATCTATCCCAGTATCCCGTCTTCTGACAGTGGCCAATTCCAAGTGCCCCAGAGAGAATGAACAGAACAGGTAATCATCAAGTGTTCAAGACAAAGCAAAGATGTACAATACATCAAGAATAAGTTCAATTCTTTTTTTTCTAGAAGAAAGAACTGTCACTATATTCTCACTTTTATTTATTTATATATTCTGTCCCCCCACTTGCATTTACCTGTGACACAAAGTTCCTTTCCTAGACCTGAAGAAGAGTTCTATGTAAGCTCGAAAGCTTGTTTCTTTCACCAACACAAGTTGGTTTAATAAAAGATATTATCTCACCCAATTTGTCTCACTAATCCTGGGACCAACATGACTATACCTACTATGTTCTAACGCCTAACATTATTTTGGGGTAGACTATGTTCCATTTATAAATTTTCTCCAAATTTTAGGTCTTGTTACACGGTTGCGATACCCAGTGACGCCAAAGAAGAAGCCTGCACCAACTACTGCAGGGTTCAGCTATGGTAATAACACACCTTCATAAATATATAGTAATTTCCTAGAAAGTGAAATTGTGTAAATCTAAATTGACAAAATATATACTAAAAATGATGGAAATCTCTAATTTTATATTGTGACTGTCTGGATTAATTCTTTAAAGCCTCACAGGAAGAGTAGATTTGGAATCCAGGTGTGTCAGTAAATGCAAGGACTACATTGCTCCTGAAGGAAGTGGTAGGAGGGTCTGTTCCTCCACAAGAATTCATTGCCCCTATGGATGCCTTGTGATCTGCATAGTTAGAGGGCCATACCCTTTCCTCCTTTGCAGGCCCTCAAGCTCTTTCCACTACTTAAATTTGGCCATCCCATACTTTGTTTTGGCTTTCTGTGGGGTGGGATGGGATGGAATGGAATGATCTGGCTCATACTTAGCACATCTAAGTGTGTGCATCTCTAGTTTATGATGCTTAGATGAATTGACAAAATTTTAGATTAGAGCAGTTTGCTGATTCAAGTCTAATATAAGTGATAATACAATGTCAATCTATATAATAGGAGTCCAGGATTGGCACTCTGTATCACTCTGAAGCCTGTTACATCTTAGAGTCAGTCTGAAACGATGGAAGCAGCTACAAGCATGGTTGAAGGTTCTTTTTGTTCAGAATACCACCAGATTCAATCATCACTGGATTTTGCAGTCAGCTACCATCCAATTTTTAAGTTCTCAGTCACTTTGACTTTATGAATTAAAACAGTACATCTATGCAGAGCCATCCTGTCCATAGGATGGACCGGAACAACAGGCCCGGGCCCCACGCTTTGGGGGGCCCCATGCTTCGGGATGCGAAGTCCAGGGTGGCCTAGGAGGTTAGCGGGGGGCCTGGCGCCGGCAGCAGCGAGCGACCCAGCCCGCTCCACCCCGCCGGCTCTCGGCGTTGCTTGTGGGAGGGGGCAGAAGCCGGAAAGAGGCAGGGCAGGGGCTTGGGGGAAGGGATGGAGCAGGTGCGGGAAGAGGCGGGGCAGGAATTTGGGGGAAGCTAGGGATGGCTCTGCATCTATGCCATGCCAAAAATCTTAGACCATTGTGATATCAGAGGTAACTCAACAATTCACCATCCTTACTCTACAACTAATTTGCATGCCTCAGTTTCACTGGTTGTATTAGGGAGATTGCACAGATGGTGGATTAGGATCAGAGAATTTAAGGCCAGAAGGGACCACCAGGTCACCTACTCTGACCTCCTGTATATGACAGATCACCACAGTGCCCAGCACCCACACAATAAACCCAACAACTGAAATTAGAACAAGATATTACAGCCTTCAAGAGACTAAATTATGTGGATTACTTGGTCCAATTGGCACAGCTGTGTACCCAACTGCCACCCGCACAAATCAACACATTGCCCAGCACCACCCCACAAATCAAAACAACCATCCACACAATACAACCAGCATACATAATAAACCCAAACACAGAGCCCCTCTCTTCAGCACACATCCCTCATCTGCCACAAATCCACACAACTCTCCCAATGTAACATAATCCACACACAAATCAATGCAACCATCCACACAACAACACAACTACTACACACAATGACCTCAAACATCACTCTGAAGCCTAGAATGTTTGTTTGAGTCAGTGTGAAGTGATGGAAACCACTACAAGCACGGTTGAGAGCTCTTTTTGTTTAGAATCGATTTATGGAAAATAAACCCTGTCAAGCTAAGGTGATATCTTTTTTTGATGAGATTACGGTTTGGTTGTACAAGGTAATAGTGTTGACATAATATATGTAGACTTCTGTAACGTGTTTGACTTGGTACCACACAGGGCCGCCCAGAGGATTCAAGGGGTCTGGGCTCGGAGCTGGGGGTCAGGGCTGTGGGGGGATGGGGTCAGGGGGGTGCCCAGCTCAGAGGGGCTGGGCTCAGAGCTAAGGGGCTGGGCTGTGGGGGGGATGGGGTCAGGTGGGTGCCCAGCTCAGAGGGGCTGGACTCAGAGCTAGGGCTGTGGGGGGGATGGAGTCGGGGGGTGCCTGGCTCAGAGGGGCTGGGCTTGGAGCTAGGGGTCAGTGCTGTGGGGGGAATGGGGTCGGGGGGTGACCGGCTCAGTGGGGCTGGGCTTGGAGCCAGGGGTCAGGGCTGTGGGGGGATGGGGTCAGGGGGGTGCCCGGCTCAGAGGGGTTGGGCTCGGAGCTAAGGGTCTGGGCTGTGGGGGGATGGGGTTAGTTGGGTGCCCGGCTCAGAGGGGCTGGGCTCGGAGCTGGGGGTCAGGGCTGTGGGGGGGATGGGGTGTCCAGCTCAGAGGGGCTTACCATGTTGCTTACCCCCGCCTCCCCTCATCCGGAGCCTCAGCGTGCCGCGTCCAGGAGCGGCCCTGGACAGCGCTGCAGCAGCGTGGTGGCTCCAGCGGGGCCTGAGCTCCCTCCGCTCGGTCGCAGCCCCGCCCCCTTACCACGCCGCTCTGAGCGACGGGAGCTCAGTCCTCGCGCGAACCACGCCGCTGCAGCGCTGTCCAGGGCCTCTCTTAGACACGGCGCGCTGAGGCTCCGGGAGAGGGGGGAAGGCGGAGGCGAGGAGGAGCCTCCGACATTCTCGTGGGGGCCCTGGTACCACATGACATTTTGATTAATAAACTAGAACAGTATACAATTAACATGGCACACATTAAATAGATTAAAAACTGTCTAATAGGTCTGAAAATGTAACTCTAAATAGAGAATCATCATCAAGCTGCTTGGTTTCCAGTGGGGTCCAACTTGGATCAATTCTTGGTCCTATGCTATTTAACATCTTTATTTATAACCTGGAAGAAAACACAAAATCATCACTGATAAAGTTTGCAGATGACACAAAAATTGAGCAAGTGGTAAATAATGAAGAGGACACTGAGGTGCACTGGGTGCAAGCAAGCAATATTCATTTTAAAATGGCTAAATGTAAATGTATACCTCTAGGAACAAAGAACGTAGGCCAGGCTTACAGAATACAGGACTCTATCCTGGGAAGCAGTGACTTTGAAAAAATGTGTGGGTTGTGGTAGATAATCAGGTGAATATAAGCTCCCAGTATAATGCTATGGCCAGAAGAGCTAGTGCAATCCTGGGATGCATAAAAATGGGAATCTCGATTAGGAGTAGAGAGGTTATTTTACCTCTGTATTTGGCAGTTATGCTGCATCACTGTGTCCAGGTCTGGTGCCCACAATTCAAAAAGGATGTTGATAAATTGTAGAGGGTTCAGAGAAGTGCCACAGGAATGGTTAGGGGATTAGAAAATGTACCTTATAGTGACAGACTCAAGGAGCTCAATCTATTTAGTTTTACAAAGTTAAGATTAAGGAGTGACTTAATTTTAGTCTATAAGTATCTCCATGGGGATATGTATCTATATAGAGATATAAGTATCTACAATATTTAATAATGGGCTCTTTGATCTAGTAGAAAAAGACATAACATGATCTTATGGCTGGAAGTTGAAGCTAGACAAATGGAGACTGGAAATAAGGTGTACATTTTTAATGGTGAGAGTGTCAAGGGTCACAGTGGATTCTCTATCACTGACAATTGTAAAGTCAAGATTGGATGTTTGTTCTAAAAGATACTCTCTAGGGATTATTTTTGGGATGTTCTGTGGCCTGTGCTATACAGGAGGTCAGGCTAAATGATCACCCTGGTCCATTCTGGCCTTGAAATCTATGAAAGAATATGACCAGGTTTAATCATCACTTGGATTCACAGTCTGTTACTGTCCAATTTGTAAGTTCTCAGCTTTTTTAAGCACACAACTTTATGAATGACACCCATGCAAGAGCATGGGCTTTCAGACTAGTATTTAATTAATGGTTTAAAAAACGGAGTCTGATTTTGACCTCTGTCTTGGTTAAAAGTTTGTTGTAGGCTGTGGCTGTTTCACAATTTATGAGATACAAAGATTTTTAAAGTGGTTCTAAAGTACACCTAAATCCCCAAATTTGCTAGTAGTATTTTCACACATTCCTCTGTCACTTTAGATCTAATATGTTCCCTATTATAATTTAACAGTCATTGTTTTTTCTTTCTTATAGAGAAATGGGAAATTAATCCATCAGAGTTGACCTTCATGAGAGAATTGGGGAGTGGTCTCTTTGGAGTGGTGCGTCTTGGCAAATGGAGGGCACAATATAAAGTGGCCATCAAAGCAATCCGAGAAGGTGCAATGTATGAGGAGGACTTCATAGAAGAAGCTAAAGTAATGATGTGAGTTGCTATATAATACTTAGCACTTATACCACAGGGCCCAGGTTTCTGGTACATATGCACTTCTTTATAAATAAAAAATTCTAGCCAGGTGAGATATGTACAGTAACTCCTCACTTAAAGTCATCCTGGTTAACGTTGTTTCATTGTTACGTTGCTGATCAATTAGAGAACACGCTCGTTTAAAGTTGTGCAATGCTCCGTTATAACGTTGTTTGGCAGCTGCCTGCTTTGTCCACTGCTTGCAGAGCTTGGTGGGGGCTTGGAGTGAGTGTGGACCAGCAGCCCCCCTATCAGCTCCCCGCTCCCCTAAGTTCCCTGTGCAGCAGCCGCCTAGCAGGCTATCAGTTGCCCGGCAGTTCAGCTGTCCCTTCCCCCACTGCCATGTGCTGCTCCTGCCCTGCCTTGGAGCTGCTTCTGGGAGCCTCCTGCTTGCTGTGCAGGGGAAGAGGGGGAAGGGGAAGAAGGGTGCTAATGTGAGGGTGTTCCCCTCCCCCCTGCTCCTGCCCACCCCATCTCCATAGAGCAGGGGGACACATGACAGGGCCCTGGACGGAGGGAGCTTGCTGGCAGTAGCTGCTGTCTCAACTTGCTGATCTACTTAAAAGGGCAGTGTACTTACAGTGGTGTCAGCGTACTTAAAGGGGCAATACGCGTCTCTCACTCACATACATGCTGTATGTCTCTGTCTCTCTCTGCCATGCTGTCTCCCCTCCCTCCATTTGTGCTGCTTTGTAGAGTATGAGGCTACATTAATAACAATGTGTTAACCTTTGAGGGCTCAACCAAGTTCATCATTTAGCAGTAAGGCATTCCCTGGGAAATATCCTACCCTCTTCCACCCTCTGACTCCACCACCTCAACCAAGCTTCACAATCATCATTGCTGTGAATAGTATTAAATTGTTTGTTTAAAACTTATTGTGTGTGTGTGTGTGTGTGTGTGTGTGTGTGTGTGTGTGTGTGTGT